TGCTATGAATAGGTTTTCTGAGCGTTAGTAGTAATCATGCTGTGTGATTGCATGTTTCATGCACAAATGGCGCTATCAACGAGGGTTGATAACAGAAATAAGTATGTGAAATTAAAATGAAACAATTTTGTGCAGACGCAGAATGGATACAGCATTAGTTTTAAAGCTCGTCGGGCTCTTTCAAAAATTGGCGCAATATCTACGCATTGAAACATACTACGACTCACCAATTCGCTGACTCTGAAGAATTAGTGGACCTGATCAAGAGTGCAGAACAGCGTCCCCCACCAAAGTGTTTGTGCTCGATTGCTCCGACTTGCATATTATTAAAGCTTTGGATTGTTTTATTTCTATTCGATTTCTTAATTTCTTAACCCCCCGAGCGCGGAAGAGTTTCGAAGCCCACCGTTTGCCGAAACCCTGGACACGATAATTTTATCATCAGGATCAGCTCCAATAGTAAGCGCAATATGAAAGTAAACGAGCAATAGCCAGGGTATGCCCCTATCCCTGACTTACCGTGAAGTTGTTAACGTGTATAATTCTTTAAAACATGTATTGTTGATACACTTTTTCTGGATGAAAAGTGTATACATCGTGCAAAAATGACGCAAATATCGAGAATAACCGCGCCTAGCTATATACTCTAAGCAAGTAGAATAGAGAGCGGGGCCGTATGCAAGTGCCTAGTCCGACTCTCTGCGCACCCGTTTGCGGTGCAGATCACTTTTGTCATCACTTACCGATCCACTCAACTCACGGTCAGCACTAGCGCTATCGGAGGCTTTGGTGAAAGATTACCAGATATACATGGGAGGAGTAGACGTACACAACCGGCTACGTTTGCAGAGGTAAGTTTTGCTATCGTGTATGTACAGCTTTAATAAAACGGACTAATGTGTATGATACAATTTTGGTTATAGATACTCTCTTCAAATGACTCGGCGTTCAAGAAATGCTACAAGTCCTTGTTTCTGGGGCTGATCGACTTCGATATCATCTACGCCTTCATCTTGTACAACTGTCGTCGTGCTGCGGACGGAAAACCCAAGATGACGCACATGCAGTTTTGAAGCGGCTTCACTTGGAGCTAATTCAGCTCAAAGCCGAGGACTGGAAGGATATGTTACGAAAACCCGCCCGGCCTTGGTGCCATCACCTCTACTTGCTCTGCTGTTAGCGGGTCGTCGAACGATCCTGTCTTGTTGTCCACTACCTCCGGTCGCAAGAACGTGAACGCCCTGATTGTCGTACCAGCAAATTGCTTTCATAGAGGGAACATGACGAGAATTCGCCAACCGGAGCGTCCCTTTCACGATGTCCTTGGGTCGTTTATTTGACGCTCACCGTCCGTTTTTCTTCTTTGGAGGCAAATAGCTTCACACAGGCCTTGGCGGTTCATCATGGTTGTCCCGACAGTGTAAAATTTCATCGTCAAAAGCTGCATTGCAAGAGCGAACGACGTATAAAACCGATCTGTAACGATCATGCGGAATCGTGCCGGTCCCGTAGCTCCAAACACATGACAAAGTTTTCTCACCACAGCCGCAGCTCAGATTTCTCATCGGCATCCGTGCTTTCGGCTTGCATCTGGCGCTTTCCTCAGTGCACTTCAAAGCTGTATTGTACACATTATAAAATAGAAGAATTGTATTAGACACGATAAGACAACTTAGAAAAAAAAGCGTGCACAAAGGCACGCTAAAACTTACCGAATGCAATACGCAGTCAGAGAGCAGCAAAGCATAAATAGCTTCGTGCCCCATTTGTGGGGCTTGTCTTCATGAAGACTCTCATTTCGGTTGAAAGTTGACCTTGAAGGGAGCATAGCTTCATCGAAGGCCATGACTGGAGGAGGTACGTAGTTGGCTTGAAATGTCCTCTGTAGGATGTCCACAATAGGACGTAACTTCCAAGCACGATCGGTCTGTGCCCGCGGGTCATCGTTATCACTAAAGTGGAGATTTCGTGATATGTGTGCAAATCGATCACGCTTGAGGTATGCGTTGAAGCAACCACGAAGGATTGCTCCTTCATCGGTTGTCTTTCAGTGGTGCTCGAACTTCTCCTTCTTGGGTGCTATAGTGCTTGCAGTAAGCAAGCCGATGAATACACACATCTCTCGACCAGATAGCTCAGGTGTGCGTTTGTGTGCATCTTTTATTTGCTCGGGTGGTTGAACTTGGAAGTCTCTGTGTTTCCGACTTCGAGCTTGCTGCTTTGCATGCTGTACAGCCACTCTCTTGTCGAGGTTCGCCTCAAAATAGTCATCACTTGGGCCAGCAATAGTCTCACACATGCCCGGAGGTGCAAGTCGGAAAAATGCACAAGCCGGTGTTTCAGCAGCGTTGAGCGCGCCAGGAGTAGATCCGTAGTCACCATCGTAGATTCCAGGGTAGTCTTCTGACATCCAGCTATCAGGCCGAGCCTCATAAGGCTCGTCCATGTAAGGACAGGGAGTCACGTTGCTCGGGTCAGTCCAGCCGTTGAACTTTATATCACTCAGTAAAGTCTTGTCTACATTGCCCCGTGAAATCTCGGTCACCCCACCAATTGCATTGAGGAGTTCCGGGTCAAAATGTAAGTCTGGAGCAATACCATTACTCTCAAAAGCAGCTTCAGATGGCCCCCGGTCATCATCGTCACTGAATACAGATGCATCTTCGGTGTCATCGTCCGAATCCAGACGCATGTAGTCGTTCTGGTTCTCGTTGGCTAGTGCAATGTTCGGGTTCTGCTGAAAAGTTGTACAATACACAATACTGTCAGTAACGAGTATACATATCATGTATATACATCATATCCTCACCAAACATATCCGGAGGATCCTCCTTGGTTTCCTCTTCTGCCACAACTTCAACCGGGTCGCGATTCTTGATAGCCTCACTGTCTCACACCATATACTCGCTACACGAGCTATCAACAGCTTCCAACTCAG